CTAATTCACAAGAAAGCTTTCGATATCCACCTTGTGTCTCAGTCCTTTCTTCTTTAATGATCTCAAGTTAATTCATTTGCACTTACAAGGGAACTATATTGTCTTCTTCCAAAAATGGAGAGATTTTTCTGTCCCTTATGTTTCATGTTCTTATTGAATTTGTTGTAATTTCTAGGATATTAAATAAAAACTTTATTTTTCTGTTTCCTTGTGCTTTGGTGTCATATCTAAGAGACCATTGCCTGACCCAACATTGTAGAGATTTATACCTTTGTCTTCCTATAAGAGCTTTATAGTTTTAACTTCTACATTTAGGTCTTTTTCATTTTAATGTTTAGATATGGTGTGAGGTAGGGATCCAACTTCACTTTTTTGCATATAGATATCCAATTGTCCCAGCACTATTTGCTGAAAAGATTATTCTTTCCCTCATTGAATTATCTTGGCATCCTAGTTGAAAAAATTCTATTAGCTATTATTTTGTTGTTTACAAATGATATTGATGTATTCACTTTTTTAGTGCCGTCTTTGTCAGGCATTGTTATCAGGTTTCCATAAGTGTTATAAAATGAGTTGCATCTTTTTTTATGGTTTGAGAAAACAAAAGGTCTAAAGTGGTTAAACATTTAAAATGTTTGAGGTCCCTTGAGTCTCCTGGAGGAGTTCTCCTTACCCACCCTGATACTTACCTTATTTGGTGGCAGTCCCAGGTTTTTACAAAGTGATGAGTTTAAACCACAAATGAATACTGAACTCAGCTGAGTTTAAGCTATACTTTAAGAACAAGTGACTATTTAAGAGCAATTTTATCCTTTCCTCCCCCATATGTGTCAGCTTAAGTTATTCTCTACATTAAAAGTTTGCTTACCCAAGGTTTCTGTCATCTTTCATTTATTCTGAACGCCCATCATTTTCCCCTGATCTCCAGCTGCTGCTACTTAATCTAAAGAAAATACAACCTGTGGAGTTGACATGTTTGCTTTTCTAAATACCTTGCATCTGTCTTTACATTAAAATTTTCTTCTCCATGTGATGGTTACAACACAGGCTCTGAAACCACACTGCCTAGGGGTGAAACCTGACTCTGCTGTATACCAGCTGTACAGCCTTGGCAAGATCTTTGTCTACTTACCTATCAAACTAATCATAGTACTCACCTCATTAGATTGTGGAGAGCATTACATGACTTAATATTTAATATTAATATTTAGAATGATGCTTGACCCTTAAAATATCAAGGCTACACTTGTCTTAAAGGCTGAAATCCCAGACCATAGATGCCATGCCTCATTTTTCTTCACACACTGATTTCTAAATTGAAATGTTTTCACAAATGCTTTACTATTTCTGGCTTCTACCTGCCTACTGAGCCTCCCTCAAACACCAAATAGCCCTTCTAAGAAGAACGTGACAAAGTTGGGCCATTGTCCTATCCCTTTATCCTTTCAAAGCTCCTCCAGCTCCTTTCATAATGAATTTAGAAAGTCTGTGAATCTGTGGCATCTTAAAATTGGTGATAAGATACCATCCTCAATGGGGCTGATGTCCATTCTAAGATGATCTCATGGCTTCCTGTTCCACTGAGGCTAGCAGAGAAAATGCATCCCACATGAGGCCCACATAAGGCATCATGTTCTTAGCTAATTACATATACGTAGAAGACTGCAACAGCCAACCCAAGTAATACTCTTCCAAGCTCCAGCTCCTTCTAACTCCCCTCTGGATGTTTCTATCACAAGCTGAGCTTATTCAAAAGTGGACTCAGCAGTATTCCAGCAAATCTTCTCCTTTGCTATTCCATTATCTGGACATGGCCCCAACATTCTCCAGCCACTCAGTTGAAAAATTTGGAAGTCATTCTAGATAACTTCTTCTCACCACCCTCATCAAACACTAGCCAAATCTACCATTTCCATCTCTCGAATATCTCAAATTCATCCTGCCTTCAATACTTTAACTGCACTCCTTTTTGCCAGCAATGCTCCCTCTCATTCACACTCAACCCTGCTCACCGGAGTAATCTTTTGCAAATGCAAACCTGGCTTGCTTACAATTCCTCAAGTGTTCTTTGTAGGTTTGGGGGAGGGGTGGGAATTCAAGTTTTATAATTTTGTCTCCTAAGTCCTACTTGACCTTACTGTCCATCTGAGTGCAACAGAGAACACAAAAATGTCCTTGTCAAGGGCACATTTCTTGATATCTGTTCAGGATGCAGCCCTCTCTCACCTGTTTCACTGTTCTAGGATTTCCCCATTTTTCTTGCATTCTGTCTCCTCCTTTCTACTGATTCATTCTCATTAGCATGTAAACTTGCTCCCTCCCCTATCTTCATCTTTTTTATTTCCTTTTGTACAGCTACAGCCATGGTTGCCTCCCCTTTTAAACAAAGCTTGCCAACAGAGTTGTCTTACGCTTGTTCCCTGTGGTTGGCCTCATGTCCACTATTAGCCTGTGCTCATCTGGCCTCTGCCCCACTCAGCCTGAGACTGCTCCCATCAAAGCCATCAGCAACCTCCACGTGCCAGATGAAATGGAAAATGTCTCATCCTCAGCTCACTCCCATATTCTCCCACATTTGACACTGCTCATCCCTCCTCGAAATAATCTTAGTTTTGTTGACCTTGAAGATAACTCCTAAGAAAAGCAGCCCCCACACCATTTCTCTTTCCTTCTCAGGCCACACTCTTTCAGTGTAACTCCACCCAGCTCCCTACTTAACCTCTGCCACCCACTGTTGTGGTTTTAAATATGGTACCATCATGTGCTGTTAGCTTTCTAATTTGTTTCTAATCCAGACTGATCTTCTGAGTTCTAAATCATACACCACTTACCACTCAACATTTGTACTTGGATGTGTCATTTGCATTTAGAATTGACCTTGTCCTAATCGACTTCAACCCCCACCATCCTCGGCACTTAGATATGTACATCCACATGCAGACACTTGTACTCATGTACACACATACACACACACACTCACACACTCATACATGCACTTTCACATGCACACACACACACACAGCCAACCTTCCTCTAAAGTTTCCCATATCCGGTACTGTACCACCACTTACCATTTACTCCTGCTAGGAACCTGCAAGTCTACCTTGACAAACCCATTTCCCCCACGCCACATCCACCCATCCCCAAGTCCCCAAATAGGCCTTGAATACATCCATGCACTCCCTCATGGCTTGTGACAAGCCTTATGCAAGCCTCATTACATTGTCCCTTGTCCAAACTTCTCCAAGAGCCTCTTATCTCCTATTCTTTTAACTGTACCAGTCCATATTTCACATACAACCAGAATGAATTTGAAACATGAATCAGATTATGCTACTTCTCTTTTTAAAACCATCTGCATATAGAATGAGGCCTACACTAAGATAGCAAAATTGGGAAAATCCCTTTTGAAAAAGTAACAAAACTGAAACCTCCAGGATGAGCAAGGGGTCAGCCAAAAGAGTGACAGAGAAGGATTTGCACTCCACTTTGAGGAGAGAGTAAGTGCAAAGGCCCTGAGGTATGAGAGCGTGGAGCACAGTGAGTGAAACAGTGAATGCTATAAAATGGTGATGGAGAAATTAGCAAAGTTGGGCCATAGAGGCCCTTGGAGGTCATAAAACGAGTACTTCCATAGTTATTTCTAAATATGTATATATGGAGTCTGTTTTTGCCCACCAGCCATAAGCTCCATAGGAAACCATGCATGCCTATTCACCAGTTTTTTTGCATGCCCAGTACAGTGTCTGGCACATAGCAGGTACTAAATCTTTATGGAGCACATGAGGGGAGAAATGTCTCCAGCATTCCAACCAGACGGAGTCACTGGCAATTGCCCAAACATCTTGTGCCATTCCCTGTTCTAAGATCCACATTCTCATCCAGCTCAGTGATTGTCCACCAAGCAGTGATTTTGCCCTCCAGGGAATGTTTGTTAATATCCAGGACATTTTTGATTGTCGCAGTTGTAGGGAAGAGGATGCCACTGGCATCTGGTGGGTGGAGGCCAGGGATGCTGTCCAACATCCTACAGTGGAGAGGGCAACCCTCCCTGACACAAAGACAATTATTCAGCCCAAAATGTCAACAGCACCAAGACTGAGAAGGCCTGGTCTTACTAATTCTACCTGTCCTCCAAGCCTCTTTTGGAAAGTCTTCCTTCCTCATCAACCAATGTGAGTTTTGCGGGGGGCCTCCACTGAGCTCCCCAAACCTCTTTTATGTGATTCAGCCCCTTGCCTTGTAATTGCCTATTCTATCTGCCTCTCACTAGAAGGCTGGGCTGTATGTTTCATTAGCCTAATCCACAGTGAGCCTTCCATGTATTTTCTTGAATGAATGCAGCCGCCTGAGCTGGGGACACATAGCAGGGTGCAAACTAATTTTGCAACAACATTTTAAAACATAAGGTTGACCTATGTGAACTCACAGGTAGCAGGACTTACCAGACCCCATCTCTACCTCTGGTAACCTGCCTGTCTCCAGGTGTCTGTGCTGGTGTGTAACCTACAGAAATGGCAACTTCCTGTGGCTCCAACCTAATAGCATGGTTCACTCCTTTAGACATGGCCTTAAATTCTGAGTTACTCAAGTTTAATCCCACTAAAATAAGACATAGAACTAGGGCATATGGTGGGTTCCTAACAATGAAAAATATAGGGCTGACGCTTCATCTGCAGTTGGCTCTCCTTTGAGTCATGACCTGCTTGATTTACCAACAAAAATAGAAATCCCTGTGGCCACAGGCTTGCGGGTTTCAGATCTCATGCCCATGGTCAGAAACATTTGAAGCCCACCTCTTTGGATTCAGGTTTGAAATGGACTTTGGTTGAAATGCTGTGCCCTTTGGAGGGGATCTTCCCCTTCCCTTGTCACGGCCGCCCAGTTCTAGCTCCTGCTGGCTTTCATCCCCCGGCCCCTGTAGTTCTGGTCCTGCTGACAGGGGAAGGAGCAACCGAGATGCCGGAGGTGAGGGCAGGGCTGGGCCCATCACCTCCAGCTCACTGCTTCTGCTGCCGCGAGGGAAGCACCCTGGCATGCGGCCTGGAACATTCACTGCCTTCCGAAGGGCTCTGTTCCTCCTCCTCCAGCTGTTGCTCCTGAACTTGGCCCCGGGCCCGCCTTCTCTCCAGCATCTCCTCGAAAAAGATCTGGCAGCTGAAGCCCTCCTGGATGCCATACTGGGCATGCTTGAGCAGAGCCTCCAACGTGGGGAAGACCCGACAGCAGGCCACGCAGCGCAGCCCATAGTTCGTGGTGACCAGCCAGTCCGGGGTGTCCCGCAGCTCCTGCAGGCAGCACTCGAGGGACCCCAGCAGCTCCGAGTCATCCTCCTCTGGGCAGCAGTCGTTCTTGCTGGCTTCCAGTTCCCAGTGCAGGTCGGTGTTGGAAGCCATCTCGAAGGAGGAGCCTTTCCTCCTCTGCCTCTTGATGAACTCAGCTTCATGGATGCGGGGCTTCCTGCTGACCGGTTCGAAGCCCGTCTCGGTCTCCCAGGCCACGGCCACGCCCTGCACGGTCTGCACGTGGGTGTAGAAGGCGCACACGCTCTGCTGGGCGGCATCCTCGTCGTCATATGCGCAGGAGTAACAAGACTGGTACTGGGAGTAGGACTGGTACTCGGAGGAGGACTGGGAGGACAGAGAGCTGCTCCAGCTTAGCATTGCCTGAGCCTTGCTGGCCAAGTAGACGTCATCCTCATGGGGAATGGCCGGTCCGGGCCGTGGAGATGTCTGCTCTCTTTTTATGGCCCCTGGAAATGGAAGGACATTTTCATCAGTGCCCCCTGCAAGGATCAGTACTGAAACCCACCTTCAGGACTCTGAAAGGGCGCGGACTCCAAGGCCCTGTGCAGGTGCCTTCTGCTCCTGTGGCTGTTTCCTTCTAAGATGGGGATGGCAATGCTTACCTCATGGGGTAATGATGAGGATCAAACAATGTATGAACGAGATCGCCAAAAACAACTAAAACCCCAAAGACCATCTACTGGTGAATGGACCAATGATGGTACATCCATACCAGAGAAACCTATCCACTGGTAAAAAGCAGGATCCCCTGATACCGGCAAAACGTGGAAGAATTTCTAATGCATATGCTAAATGAAAGCCCCAGGGCAGAAAGCCCATACAGTATAGGATTCTACCTAGATGACATTCCAAAAAAGGTAAAACTACAGGGAGAGAGGAGAGATCAGGGGTTACCAGGAGCTGGGGGTGGGTGGGTGGATGGGATGCAGCTGCAGGGAAACTGATTTCAGATGGTCACAAGGGAGCCTTTGGGGTTGGTGAAAATATTCCATATCGTGATCATGCTGGTGTTTACCCAAATGTATACTTTCCAAAGTTCTACAAATTGTGTACTGAAAACTGATAATATTTCTGTTTAAATTAACTCAAGCAAACCAATCTAAAAAACCATGCATGGGACATGATTTGGCCAGGACTTCCAGCCCCACAACCCCTTTTGGCATTTGTGACATGTCTCCGTCTTATGGAGGGAGCATCTCGCCCTCTCCATGAACATTCACTGTACCCCATCACCATCTAAGTGCTTTGCCATGTTTTAACTCCATTAATATTGAAAAAAACAAGCAAACAAGAAATTACATTGTTGTAATTCCCATTCAACAGATTAGGAAACTGAGGCAGAAAGAGTTTAGCTGACTGATGAGCTGGCATTACCCTTAGGTGCTGCCCACGGTCACTTCATAATGGTCTTCAAATTGATGCTCTAGATTAACTTTACTCAATTTATTATAAAGGACTTCTTTATATTATTCCGAAATCATGGGATTCACATGCCAGTTCTGTTTGTCCAACGTACATGAATATATATAATGATGAACATTTTACAGTTTCATCCTCTTACCTTCTGAAATCACCTCAGGTACTCACAATGGCCCCAAGCATACCCACCACCCATTTTTATGGCCAATACAACACTTTGGCAACAGCACTGAGAGGTGACCCTGTGTCCACTCCTCATCCTCCGGGATCTCCTTCCCAGGGGACACAGCTGGCAGCACCCTTCAACCCTTTCTCGGGACTTACCTGACCAGCACACTTCCATGCCCTCTTCCATGGACTCCGGGCTGGCCAAGCTGAGGCTGGTGCCATCTGTGGGTGACTGTTCTACCCTGTGCTCCGTGAAATAGCGTTTCATGATTGGACACCAGCACCCAGGGGACTCAGCGCTCCAGCTCTTTGGTGAAAGATGGCTTGGGCTGTGCTAAAGCCCTCCACCGGACCCAGCCCGAGTGGCTGCTGGGCTCCCTGCTGTCACTAGGATGCTGGTTTTATTCTGTGACCTCATCAATGACACTGGCCTGTTCTGTGACCTATGGTAAAGAGTGAGACCCCACCTGGAGCCCAGGAGAGGCTTCCTATCAGGATCTCATTTCCCCACGGGGAACTTTCCTGTCTTGTTTATGGTCAGGGACACAAACACAGAACACACACACACACACACATATAAACACTTGTACACACATAGACACACAAACATCTAAACATACCCCACAAAGACATTTATACATATATAAATACACATACCCTCACACTGACACATAATCACTCAGACACACATACACTCAAACATATATAAACACACACATTTAAACACAGAGACACACACATACACATTCATACACATACAAACTAACACACACACAAATTAATACACACATTTGCCTAACAACACACATATGTTCATACATGCATACATACATGCATACACTCTAACTCACACCACATTCACTTAACTACACACATGTTCGCACACTGTCATCACCCAGTATCAAAATGGGCTGACCTAATACTGAGGAAACAGCAGATGACTGAACATCTTACCTCCTCCCCAGTGTCGCACCCCTGCCTCATTTAGACCTCTTGGCCCTCCATGACCTAAGTCCCCAGGTGCCAGGGACAGCCTACCTCAGGGCCTTTGCACTTGCCCTTCTACCAGGCACACCTTGCTCTAAGTTCTGGTGGCTCAATCTCTCAGTACAGTCTGCTGAAACAGCATCTGTCCACCCATCTTTCCCCCTTACCCTGCTTTAGTTTTTGCCCTCAGGCAATTTTATGTATGTGCACACATGCATAATGGGCTTATCTGTATTCATCTCTATTCTTAAAGGTAAGCTCCCTGAGGAAGAGAGTCCATTCAGTTTTCCTCTGTCACATCCCTAGCATCTAGAATAATGCTTGACACATTGCTTGAACAAGCATTCTAGAAATAATCATCAAATCAGTGAATGACTAAACAATACATTGGAGCTCCTGATGGTATTTGTCAAGGGCACGCCTACCTAGCAGATCTGCCTTCTCTCCGCATCTCGGTTCTCTGCTGCCCTGAGGCAAGATGGTTATCACCCCACGACTTTGGGTCCCCTCCATTCTCTACCTGCACAAACCTCAGCCCAGACAAAGTCACTCTGGCACATCTTCCCGCCTGCCCTCTCTCTCTCTGCTCCTGGAGGTCCTCATGCTGGAATGTACTTTCTCCAAAATACTTCTCTCCAATTCCCTCCCACCTCTGCTGAGTGTCACCACCTCTATTCCTCTGCATCCGCAAATCTAAATAGCTCAAAAAGGTAATGATGATTGGAAATAATCCCTATAATTCCAAAGTAACCCCCACACCACCCACACAGCCAGCACCTAGGAAAATATTCTCCTCTCTAGAACAAAAGGCCATTGCATGAAGGAGAACAGCACAGATCTTTACGGAGTGATGAGAAGTCACATTTGCATCTACAAAGAGACAATGTTCCCTGGTGGAAAGAAGAAATACAGTGATCGTGTTCTCTCTTACCAAATAAATCCAGAGGCTGGCCTTATAAAAGTAAGGGGGTACCACGCAAAAAATAAGTACATCAATGTAAGATAAAAGTAGTCCAGAAAAAGATCACATTGTATATTTGAATTTTCGTAAGATTTTATTTATTTATTAAAGAGAGAGAGAGCACATGCATGACCCAGGGGAGGAGCAGAAGGGGAGGGAGAGAATCTCCTGCAGACTCCCACTGAGCTTGGAGCCCAATCGGGTACTTGATCCCATGACCCTGAGATTGTGACCTGAGCCGAAATCAAGAGTCAGACACTTAATCAACTGGGCCACACAAGTGCCCCTATATATTTGCACTTTTAAGAGATAAAATAAATAAGATCTAGGAGAAAAAGAAGACTCAGTGAGTAAGTGATGCTGGAAATTTTTATTCACTATTTTTTTAAAGGCACCACTGGCCTTACCTCATGTAAAACTACTAAGAATATTTTCATAAGATGCTAGGGTTGTGTTTTAATTAAAAGTGTATAGAAAGAAACTATAAGTTAACACCCTAATTATAGGCTGGTTTTTCTGAACCTAAACGATATCAATCATCACAAGCATTGGGAATCCTTGTCATCTTTTCTTAACTTCATCGCTTAAAAAAACCTCATTGTTTCAATTTACATTTCTCTGCTTTTTAGTGAAACTGCCATGAGCCGCTCAGTGAAGGAAATGAACAAGCAATTCCCAGGAGAAGGAATGCAGATGGCTGAGAAACAGATGAGAAGTTCAGCCCAACTCGACCTAACTATAATGAGGAAACTACAAATTAAAAACACATGATGTGCAGTGTATTGCGTTTGCCCCTAAGACAAGCAAGAATGAAAAAGACTGACAGTTCTCCAGGAGCGTGAGGGGATAAGGAAGTGAACACTTATACTCTCCTGCTAACAGTGTACCTGCCTTTCTTCAAGGCAACTGGAGAGCACCCGTGCAATTAAAAGTGGGTATGTTCTTTCACTCCGCCATCTCTTTCCCGGGAAACGTTCACATTTTGTGCTATGGGCATGAAATCACACCTGGAGAAATATTTATTGCCGTCTAATTTATAAGAGAAAAAGAAAAAGGAAACATTTCAAAGATCCATCAAAAGAAAAAGCAGTTACATAAATTACACCATAACCAAACTGGGGAATACTATACTATAGTAAAAAATACAGATCTGTATCTACTAATAAGTGAATTCACATGAATTGCAAAAAGGAAAAATGCAAGGGAATTCCACTTAAGTAAGTGAAAATTAAACACGCACCCCCTCCCACAAAAGCCCTAAACCAAGTCTTAGTTATCCATGCATGCAAAGGAATAGAGGACATCTGAAGATCATCACCTGCCCTTGGGAACAGTGGTGAACTTGGAAGAGGGAGAGAGATTAGATGGGGCTATAAGAGATTATATTTTCCAGAGATGGCCACACTGGTGTATCTCCCATCCCACATGCTCTTCTTACAACGTGAAGTCGACACTGCTGCATGGAGAAAAGGTCTTTGTCTTCCAGAAGCCAGGTGGACTTTGTAGCTGTCTCCATCAATAGAAGGCAGGGAGCAATGCTTCCAGACTTTCAAGGCTGCACCATAAAAGACCATAGGGATTCCTCCTGGTTCTCTCTCTCAATGTCCCTGTTTCTCTTTCTACATCCCTTTGGACTCAGCCACCATGTTGTGAAGAACCCCAGGTCCCACAGAGTTGCTCCAACCAGCAGCCCTGGCAAAGGTCCCAGCCAACCAGCCAAAGCGCAAGTGAATGAGCCTTCGGATGACTCTGCCATCGAGCTTTTAGAATCTTCCAGCTGGGTCCCCACACATCTCAGAGCAGAGAATAGCCATCCCCTCCAAATCCAGCCATCAGCCCTGCCTGAATTCCTTGCCCTCAGAAACAGTGAGCATAGTAAGAGCTCCATCTTTTATGAGGTTTGGGGCAATTTGTTATGGGGCTCTCATAATTCAACAGACTTTTGATCTTACCCGTAATGTTTAAATATGTTCTAGTTCAGCAGCTCATTGACCAGCATCTATCACGTAGTGCACCGCCCTGGGGGAGCCTGACGGTTCCCCCAAAGACAACTTAGGAGTCTGTCTCCTGCCACCCACCATCCATTCACGGGTTTGTTTACTCCCAGGATTCACACACAACAGTTTGGGAGTTGTATGTAGTTGCTTCACTAACTACATCATAGTGTTTGTGGAGGGTTGCTTTTCTCTTTAGCTCTTACTTTTTCTACTCAAAACAGTAATACCCAAGGTCACATGAGTCAGCTTCTTTATTCCCCCAGAATCTCCATATGCCCTTATTAATCTTCCCAATGACCCCGCCAGCAGGCATTATTAACCCTACTTTCTAGAGGGAGGTTGAAGCTCAGAGGGGTTAGGCGAGGCACAGGCAGGGCAGGAGGGATGAGCTGGAGGCCCAACTGCTTTGCCTTGCTGCCCTAATGCCTGTTTCCTACCAGGCCACTTCCCAGCAGGTGGCTTAGAGCAAAGCCCCACCAAAGGTGTGCAGAGAGCCTTCACCCCACGTGAAGCAACCTCTGGGTTGCTTCTGCCCACGGGAAGGCCCTCTTTCCCAGCCCCTCCCCTTGCTCCATGCAGATAGTTAGCTCAGTAAGGCGGCCCATACAGGGGTTCTGCCCTCCCCCAGGGAAAAGAAGGGAAGAATGGTTAAGGCCCAGGCCCACCCAACCCACTGCGTCCCAGGCCCTGAAGTTTTCCAGCTGGTTCTCCAGCCTCGCCAAGAACTTCCGTGCTCCACGGTCAGAGCCAGCAGGGTTGGTGCACAAAACCCCAAAAGGACCAACACAGCGTTTTCGTGGAGCTCTGAGTCCCGGCCAACTCATTTCACACATTGCATGTCAGCCCTAAACCTCATCAAGAAGGCCCGGAGTGTTTTCCAGTCTTAAGTTTTCTTCCAAGACCTCCTCTTCCCAGCCTCTGGTTTTCTCAGCCGGGAAGCGGCTGACCGGAAGCAGCCCAGCCGCAGGCACTGCAGGAAGCGGAGACGCCCCTTCTCCTCTCCCTTCCCTTCTAACTCCGGAGGTTGGCTCATGCCACAATCTCCACAACAGGGAGAGTCCACTGGTTCACCCCAGAGCCCCTTGAGCCTCCAGAAACTGCCTGTCTGCCGGGCCAGGGTGCCAGGGAGCCGTGGCAGGCAGGCACGGCATCAGACCTGACATTTCTGTGGCCCAGCGGATAGAGCAAATGTTTCAGTAGACAATGCTCTTCTCCTCACGCTAGAAAATAGGGCCCCTCGAGGCAGGACCCACCCCCTTGCCGCTGCCCTGCAAAGCACTCCTCTGATCAGCCCCGAAAACACTTCTTTCATCAGACTTAACA